GTTAGATAAAATTTCGAGCATAAGTGTAATTCGGCTAGTAGATAAAAAGGAAAAGAAACATGTCTTTACTTCGTGAAACCAAAATGGCGGCGGGAAAAAAAAAAGAGGGTTGCTGTAGGAGAGTTGGGCGCCAAATTTTCGCCATAAAAACTCCAAGTTACCATAATGTAAAGATCAACCGTACATTAAATACGTAACCCGAAAAATTGAAGTGATAACATCAAAATGCTGATTTTATACGATTTTTTTTTTTTTTTTTTTTTGTAAAATTAGGCTTAACTGCTGAAAATGCGCGGGCCAGTGGCAATGATCCATTTCAGCGGGTCCGGTCTCGTGACTGCGCTTCGTTCTCTCGGCGCTGGTCCTTGGGGTTAAATAAAGTTATTGGCATTTTTTTAAATATAAAGCTATATCATATAATAAGGAAGAAATCATACCATAAAGGGAAAATGCATATTAAATTTATAATGCCTGGAGAGATAGATGATCGCATTGAAGAAAGATGTTCAAAGTACATGTCTTATTCAAAATGAAGTGTCATGGATATGGAAATCTCATAGGTATACTAAATTTTGGAATTTGTGCCTAATATAAAAGTTGTAGCGATATACCAAGAACAGCCATCATAATTAAAATAAAATTTTCGTAGTTAGAATCTGTGATTTTGTTTCCGAAAACTTTATATTTGTAAAATTAAAAATGAAATAAGACAAAAAATATAAATCTAATAACTACGTGGTCTCCGCTTCGAAGTCCATACAGTGTAGACGCCAGATCATCTGTAGATGACTTACAAGACCGCAACATGTGGCTGGACTGGCTATAATGCTTACAAAAAAAAAAAAAAAAAAAAAAAAAAAAAAAAAAAAACTGCAAGCAGGTGGAGTCTCCTGAGCATAAACTTTGATTATGAGATCACAAACTCTTATTAGCTTTACAAACACAAATTCAAAAGGACTTACTTCAAAAGATAACTTTCAATATTTCCGATAATTCTAACTATCATAGTGTTATAGTTTATACAAAAAAGTATTCTTCTTGGAACCACTTCTTACCCACCACTGGAAAAATATGAATTCAATAAAACAGCTTAACAGGAAATTATTCTGGATGATTCAGTATGTGCTTTGCCATTGAACTTCTTTTTTTAATACAGTGATTTGATTTGCTCAATAGCTACACAACTGTTCCTATTCCCAGTATGTGAATTGCAAAAACATGCTCAGTTAACAACTTGGATCAAATTTAAGACCATTTCATAGGCTGTTTTTTGGAAACCTCTTTTTTTGCCACTGAAAAATTCAAAACAGACAAGATGCAGTTTAGAAGTTTTAAAAGTGTATTGAGTTGAATCTGGTGTTTTAAGACTAATGATTTTAAAGAAATTCATTCAAATGAATACAGCAAGTCACAATTGAATAATTTCTCAACAGGAGGGATTATTTTCAGGAATGAATTCAGAATCAAATTACAAAATATAAAAAAGTACAAAAACACCCATGTAGTTAACAAGCTGCGCAAAACCTGAAATCAGTAGATATAACTACTATTCAACAACAATCTTATCGCTTAGCCATTTACAGGTTCCTGGGAAGTGAAACATTGATGATGAAGTATGACATTGCATGCTATAGCTTCTTTACAGGAAAAGTAGAAGAAACTTCAGACAGTGTTATTAGGTTCATGAGCTGTAACATATTGTCGTTAAATCACTAATGAGTTATCTTTCTTCGACGCAGTAATTATGAGTATGCCATACAAGAAGTTTCTATTCTAAAAAAATTGATTAACAACCTGTGACCAAGGCTGTGGAGTCTGAATCGGAGCTGGAGTCGCTAAAAACAGGTCGACTCTGACTCCAGTTTTTGTTGGACAGTTTGAATTTGATATGAAATTAGAATGAATTAAAAACAAATTAATGACAAGCCAAGTTATTTTTATTTATGGATTACATACAAAAATAATTATTTTCTATTTTATTGACATATTAATAAATATAAGGGAGGAGGATGTAATATTTGCAATTAGTGATTAAACAGATTCATTTAGTTAAAAATCTCACTGGTAAATTTAGATAAGCAGCATATTACGTATTTCCAGCGTCATTCTGACTAGAGGGCGCTGCGTTCGTCCTAATAGTCAGTGGCAGGCAGGATACTAAAGGTGTAAGATGTGGAAGGCAGAGATGCCTAATAATATATCTCTAATTGATTGAAATTTTCGTATATTTTCTTGTAATAAGTGTTGTTATTGTTTGCAAAACCTCTTATTATCTCTTGGATGCACCATTAGTCTCACAGAACCATTAGATGCAAAACAGCACTAGCAGCAAGAACTCCCAAAATTGATGCCATTCTTAGGAAGCGAGCAGGAAAATGAGCAATTATTGATCAAGCAACGCGATAAGAAAGTACATGTTTGATGATAAAGAGGATGTTAGAATTAAGAACTTTTTTTGAAGATGTAGATAACCCTAATGTTTCACTAACATAACGACTGTGGAATGATCTTGAAAAACTGGAAACTCTTCTTTCTACACCATATATAGCCACAAAAAAGCTGCAATCTGAAGAATCAACAGGAGATGATAATGGAAGAACGTGATGTTTGTTCTTTCTGAAATGGAGGGTTTATTGCAGAAGGAATCATTTCTTCAATGAAGAAAAGAGAAACTAGTTTGCTTGACAATGAGATCTTGCTGGGTTCAATATATGTAGATTCGAAACATCTAATTTCCTTGGATGACGAACAAATTAAGAAGGCAAAGTAAGCCATCTATGAACTTTCATTAAGAATGAAATTATTCTCAGAACAATTGGAGAATTCGAATCAGGACAGCAAACTATGTAGACATTGCATTTGAGTCTCTATCATCCTCTTCCAGTGACGAATTAGATTTTGAGAAATATTTTTAGATAATATTGAAAAGGCTAAGGCCAAGCGAATGAAAATAAAGAACCAAGAGCCTTTAGACATAAAAATGAAAAAATACAAACAAGATTTCTACACGGCATTTGAACTAAAGCAATACGATTGCGCTTGCAAAATACCTCTTTTAGAACATGTAAAAATCTATCATGAAAACTTAAAAGAAGTAGCCCTAGCAGTAATAGCTCTTCGTCCTACTCAAGTTAGGGTGGAAAGAGTCTTCTCAGCTCTGACATTTATCAAATCAGATCTACGGCCCTCCAACAAAGAAGATATTGCCGAAGCTATACCATCTGCTTAGAAATAACTAATGACAGTTTTTTCATTTCGTGATAAATAATTTGCTATACCATCAGTGTTTTTCTGTAACATCTATTACTTCTTTTATATTAAAAAAATAAACTGTAACCCATGTGTATATAATAAATGAGGGAGTCGGAACCCTGCCTGCGACATTCTAAAATAAATATCTTTGCAGGTTCTATAAACTCCGAAAAGTTGATAAAATTGTTCACTTTTATATCTTCTGTACTTGTCCTGTATGTGCAACATAAGAATCGGACAATTTCACTTAGAGCTCTTTTTCTTTACGGAGATAACCCTGCATTTTTGTCATCATTTAATAACCCAATTAACTTGCTTGCATACAGTAAGGATATTTGTAATACCTCTTCCATAAAAATGGAAGTCAACAAACTTATTGTTTAGCACAACCTTGTTAACCATGAAACAATGAAAAATTAGTTACCAAGTTTCTACCAATTATTAACAGCCACTTATAATTAATACAACATATTATTAGCAGATTAAAGAGAAAGCACTTTATAAGTTTTTAATGCAAGAACAGTTTACTGAAAGTGATGGCAACTATCAATGCTTTGATAATAATGTTACTTTGCAGTTCATTTATATAAAAATGACAGTTTTGTATTAAGCCTTTAGTAATACTATACCTAAGGTCTGCAAAAGATTAATTTATTTGAAGTAAAATTAGACAAAGCTTACTAGAATTAGCAGAAATATTAAAAAAAGAATTTGAAAAATATGTACAGTACAAAGTCTTTAATCCGGACTCATCAGGACTTCGACGATCAATTTAAGATGGCATGCAGAAATTATAAAATTAAAAATATGAAATAAAGAGCAATTATGATCTAAAGGGTATCAAAATTTACAAAAAATAAAGCTTAATATTTGTTTACTTTTTTAAACATTTCTTTCAATGTAAGTTGTTTTAAGTTGCTTCGTTTTATGTGAATTCTATAAACAGACATAATTTTTTGTTCAGTTACAAAGTTCCGCTGTTCAAGTCGCTGTGCCGAGAATACAGACTAACTTGTCAATCGAAATTTTTTTTTTTTCACTAACCTCTCTGTCACTTTCTTCAGCCTAGGCGGATCCCATTAGAAGAGATTAAGGAATGACGCAATCTGCAACATTAACTGAAACAGATAATTAGATAATTTTATCCTAGCTTATACCATTCGTTATACATTAAACGCGCATGCGCAGAAAGTTTGTAGCTTTGAGGTCCGGATTATAGATCATTCCGGATTAAAGACTTTGCACTATACTTCCGTGTTGATAACCATGATAATCCTCATTTATGACTTCAAAAACACTAAATCTGATCATAATTTTTCCACATTTCTTTTTACTGTATCTGTTGGCAAACTAAGAAATAAAAATCGAGGATAGCCATGATGACAGTCATTATTCAAGTGAAACTTTCACAATCAGCTCTTTTTACCACACTCTCTCACACATGCAGGTTACCCATACACAGACTGCCCATAATGATAATTTACAGGAGACATCTGTAAAAATTAAGTGCCTAGTTTCTTGATTTTTTAAATAGGTTATCTACAAATGTCTTGAAAGAAATGATAAACTGAGTTTAAATGCTATACCGCTTCATTCCAAATATTGTTTCAATTACATGGATCCCAATTATTGTTACAGAATATCATTGCTCATTCGCCCCTTTTATTCAGATAAGTATTGTACTTTAATGCATATCAACTATTTCAAATACAGTACTTTTAATGTTATATAATAAGTATACTACTCAATAGCTGTTCACTTTCTTTATTGACTTTTAAGTTACTACATAGTTTTCACATCCCTACAGATACAAGTAATTTTTTTCACAACTGTAAATCTAATTTTATGATTTAACAATTTTAGGATCATAGTAGAAACTTTTAATGAAACTATTTCACTGTGTTGTGCGTGGAAATTAAAAGGGCATTTAATCTTCGCCATGCAAAGTTTCCTTGTCGAACATATACTCTCCAAGGCCGGTTCCAACACGTTGCAAATTGGTCACGTAGTCAGATATTTCCTTGATAGCCTCAACTTGCTCCTTCAAATACTCAGATTCCAAGAAGTCACACATCTGAAAATATACAATAAGAAATTAAATAGCCAATCCACATATGACAACTACCTCAGCAAATAACCAGCAATTCTGAAAACAAACATTGACTAGCCTCTCTAAAAGGATCATGTCTGCAGAAGATAAAAAGTTCTTCAGAACCACAGATAGTCATTTTAAAAGAGGATTTAGCATGCATTTTTATCTTAATATCACTACAATTTCTTCACAGACTATTTCGTAATTTTCAAGGGACACAAAATTAATATAAATTTTCCTAAAATTTTAATAGTATTAAAATAATCTGCATCCAGAGACATTTGTAAATTTAAAAACTAAACATTCTATCTGTGCCATAACATAGACAAAATGAAACAATCCAAAATATGTACGATGCTCAGAAATAATATCAAGTCAATTAAAAAATCATTTATTATAACAGAACTATGTTGGAAGACTACCATTTCCAATTAGTTATATACTACATTACATCAAGCATCTTCAGAGAGAAATTAATAGCTTTATGGATTCATTTCCTGTAATAACAGGCTAAAAAAAAAACACTAATTTAAAGGAACAAGCATCCTTTAACTAGCCAATTATTGCAATTCTAACAAAAAATTAAAGCTTTATTTACAGTACCTGATAAAGAAGGTACGTTTTCCCCCACAAATAACTGGTAATCAACTATGGAAAAGTAACTGTTAAAAAAAATCATAGAAATTCATTTTTATTATTTGATAAAGTAAGGATTTACACTGAAGAATTTTTACAACTATCACATCTGTCTTACTTTAGACCTATTTCTATCTTTTACTCTGCAAACCTTGATGATAAAAATTTTATTTGCGAATGCATTTATCCATTTGCTATGGCAGGAAATTCTGAAGGACTGCAATTTCAAACAAGACTTTATTAACTATTTAAAGAAACAGAAATAAATACATTATCTTTATATTATAGCACAGGAAAACAGGCAGTTTTCCTTTCTTGTCTAGAATATTAAATATACCTCTATTTTTGCTGAAAATAATACCTGTTTCAGTTATGTAATACTCAATAATAACTGGCTTATTTGAAACATAGTATATGATATGAACATCTAATCTTCCAATTTAGGAGCTAGCCTAAACATTTAACAAGATTATCATTCACAGTATTTCATCTTCCAAGGGTAAAAAATTCTTTTGTGTCACAATGATGAAGATGCTTAAGAATTTTTAAATGTGTAAGAACTACTACTAAAAGCTGAAATATTTTAAACATTATGTTTATTCAATTTAAAGATATTAAAAATCTTAATTCAAAATATAATTAAGGATATATATATTTAAATCAAATGGTAATTTGACACAATAAGACTCCCTCTTGTAGAAAACATCCAATTTAAATTATATTTAATATATTCTTTTAATTATTTTTTTAATCAAATCCATTCAAACAATTATTTTCATTAAATGAGCTAAAGATTTACTACTGTAGAAATTTACATACTTGAGCATCATTATGGGCAGTAGCAACAGCATGAAGATCAAGCAAGGACTGATTTACAGTCTTCTCCAATTCCAGAGCAGCTTTCATGGCATGTAGACCACTTACCCAATCTTCAACTGCTGGTTTCTAAACAGAATTGATGCTACATGAAAATTTAAGAATATACTGCAATTTTAAGAATAAAAAAAGATCTTGTTTACAGGAAATTCAGAAAAATATATGTAGCACTGGCTGTCAAAATTATCTTAAATTTCTATCAATTTTTTTGGGGTTAAAATACTACTAATAGTTTCTATACAACTTTTAACTTTTATGGGACACATACAAGAAGTAAAACATACCAGGGTATTTACAAGTCATCTCAATAGTAATTAAATTAGTAAAAGTAAAATTAAATGTGCCAAACTCTGGCAACCATGTGCAAAACCATTCATCCAGCAACTATATTCATAACAACCCTTCAAATCAGGCAATGTTTCCATTTTTGTATGCATTCTTTTTCGTTATCTTTCAATTCCCAATTTTTTATATAAAAAATTCATGCTTTCATTTTAGTACACATTATCCACAGGACTTGGCAATGTTATAATGAGCAGTAAACGTGATATTTATAGTGAACAGTAAAACAAGTCATTTTGGTTAACAATAGTTTTCAAAATCGCACCAAGGTCGTACCGTATATTAGGATTTTATTTATGATAGTTTTTGCCTTAAAACTTAGTTTTAAAATATGATATTTTATATGTGTAAATATATAGCATTTTAAAATATGAGAATTAGCCAGCAATGGATGAAACTATAGGTAAAGTGCAGAATTGCCTACTTATTTGTTTGGAGTTTTTCACAAGAGTAAGAAGAATTGGATTTTTGTCAATTTCCTTTTACTTTTTAAGTGAAAATAGGTCGATGCATACATAGATAAAGTCAAGGGAGTGCACAATGCCATTTTTGTGCAATTTTGGGATTTTTTTAAGTGAAAATAAGTTGATGTGTGTACCGAGTACGTGCAATTCTTAAAAATGTGCCAAGCAGTGGGTGATTCTGCATTTTTCCCGAAACTATTTCTACAGAAATACAGGATTTTGCTGAAATTTTTCTAAAGGAAACAGTGAGGAAAAAATGAGTTTCCTAGACAGTAACTGCTGCAGAGGTTAGCACAAAACCAAGTTTCTGCAATTCTCTCTCTCTCTCTTTTTTTTTTTTTTTAAACAAAAAGCAGAAAGTGCAAAAAAATTTAGAAGATATTTTAAACTTTCCAAAATTCTTTAGGATATTATTTGTAACTATAACAAATGCCTAACTCGGTAACATTACTTAAGCTTTAAGTCAGAATCCTTAAACAGCTTCCAGAAAGTCATGGACTTATGCAAGGACTATACTACCTTGCAAGAAGCTAAATTAACTGAACTTCAAGGCAAATAAATGCATGCATAAAATACCAATTTAGTTAATTTAATCTTCATTTCATTAGGTACATAATTATAAATTTTTCTTACCAAAAATGCTTAGTTATAACTGATGGGTATAAATCAATTCTTTTGCTTCTTTTATATGCTAAAATTTTACTTTTACTAACAAAAATAAAATCTGAAACACATTTACACATACAGATTTTTTAAATGTTCAACTATATGTCATTAAATTTTAAATTTACACATATAAGCACCAAACATTAAGATATAAATGAATGGACATTTTAATATCAACTGGCATTTACAAAGAGTGAAAAAGAGGTTCTGAAATAATAATAAACACATGTAGAAGTCCTGAATAATTCACATACTTTCCAAATTTACTATAATTGTGATTATGACTTAACAATTTACTATAATTGTGATTATGACTTAATCTTATTAATGAAGATTATGATCAAAACTTATACTTTAATTTAGTACACATGTATCAAATTACAATCGAGCTATTTTGTCATTCAATGATTTTTTAATCTTAATTTTAAGAAACATAAGAAATCTTATTAAATCTATTAGTTAAAATAAGATTACGATGCAAATATTAACTTAACATTTTAGATGGCTACATACAAGGATTTAAGTATAGAAAATGACAATCTGAACATAACAAAGCAAGCAAGTAAACGTTTGAGAAACAAACCTCTATGGCTTTAAGTACAATTCTACCTCCTCGCATGTTTTGATACTTCATCAGTTTTTCAGCATGTTCACGTTCTTCATCACTGCTTTTTTTGAAATATTTACGGAATCCAGGTAAAGCTACATCATCTCGATCAAAGTAGTAACTCTGAAAATATATTAGGGATATTACAAAATAAATTTATTAAAATCACATCTTTTGACACATATCCAATAAAAATATGTGATACACGGCTCTGGAAGAAAATACTACATTTATTTAAATCACGTTATCGCCTTTATGTAATTCACTCGCTCTCTCCGAATGTGCTAAAGTAAGAGGGTAACAATCTTCAGTCTGAAGAGAGAAGCAACTATATAAACTAAAAAAAATTGGTATTTTAATTTTATTAATTACTTCACAATTCTACACAAGTACTTCTTGTTTAGCATCTTTAATAGAATAACGGAATGATGCACCACAAGGAAAGCCGCAGAAGGTGATAAAATTTAAGACTGCAAAAGCAGCCACAACGGGTGATGAAAGTGAAGGATCGCATGTCCACACCATTTTGTATCACAGCTGCGTAGTTGCGCATTTTCTTCATGGCGCCATGCGGCAAAATGACCATTTAGAATGCAACATTATCTGAATATATAGCAAGTTTCAATTATAATTTCTTTTACACTGTTACTGAAACTAAAAACGATAAAACTTCAATACCTTTGAACGTATAAAGAACATACATCAGGAACATTCACCTCTTAATTTTAGTTCAATTATAAATTTATTTCCGTTAATACTAAGAGAAAAAGATCAATATATTTTTCAATTGCTAAGTCAATAAACATATGCTAAATATACATAAATAAAATTTACCATGGAGAGATACACGTAACTTGCATAGAGTTCCATATTAATTTGCTTGTTGATTCCTGCCTCACATTCTTCGTGGAAATTTTGTCTAACCTGACTTACTGCCATGATTCTAAATGAATTTTAACTGAAGATGAAACAAAATTTAATTTATGTAAAAAAAATTTCGTTAGTTAAGAGATGCCCGTTCAAACACTGTTGAAGCAAAGCACCATAATATGACGTAAATATCCGGATAATGGGTTTTTATAGGATTCGGTTTGGTTGCTTCATCCTCCAGTTTCACCCCCTGGTGCAAATAAGGCGTACTATCTGCAACAATTTAGATGCTTAAAAACTTTTTTTCTGGTGTGAATAATATTGCTAAACGGATGAAAATTTTCAATAATATGAAATTTTAGTTATTATGGTGTTTTATTTTGAGTAACAAAATACAACAGTTAGTTTTTTCATGAAATTTTGACACAATACTTTTATAATGTTCAGTTAAGAAAATCAATGAAAATTTTAGGTTTCTAAATTAAATCGATGTATTTTATAGATAACCTAAGCCAAAGATAAAAGTCTTGATCTCATACTCATTGCCTGACCGCTTCTGAGTCACGAGATGAGAATTAGCATATTTGAGATGGCCACTGTTACTGTGTAATTTTGATTTATTGTATTTACCGGAAGAGTTGAATGTTTATCGTATGAAAACTTGATACTAAATTTTAATTTATATACTCTGATGCTGAAGCCTACATTTGCGTATTGTAATGTCTTTAATAATGAGCAGATGGCTTATTTGCCTTTTAATTATATTCCACGAATGCATAGCTTCAACTCATTGGATCGTCACAGAAGACGGTCGGATACAAGCTCAGGTATAAACATATGCGCATAAAAGCAAACTGTTAACGATTTCCAGTTATTTTAATTTTGAGTACATGCTGTAGACTAAACGAAATAATTATTATTCTTTATTTTAAAATTTTAAAACTAGCTTATATGTGCGTTTTTATTTATTTATTTTTTTTTCCTGATTTTCTCATTTACCTATTTATACACTTGTAATGCCATTCACGATATTTCAGTGCGTTAGCACTATTAAATTCACCAAGAAGAGAATACTGACATTAATTATATATTTTATTGGTTAGAATATTTATTTCAGAAATTTAACGCACAGGCATGGAGCCTATCAATACTGTGTCACCTCTAAACAGGCCCGGTTGTAGCATTTTGGGCGCCCTGGCCAATTTTTGTGATTCAGTTTTTCTGTAAATTTGACTGAAGTTTTGTCAAACAGAACTACTTGTATTGCTCTTGCTGTGCCGTAACCATTATGAACAATTTATGTACAAAATAAAAATTAAAATGATTTTGAGTTAGCGAGTTTGCATGTTCATTATCTTCTTTAGATGCAGAAATTAATAAAATTTAGGGTTTAGACTATTTACTTCATTTAATAATATAGTTGTATTTAGATTTCCCCTTTAATGTAATCATATTAACATATAAAATAATTATAGTCTTGGAAAAATCAGTGAAATATTTGGCAACATTTATAAATTTTAAAATTAATGTGTGTAAAGGTTTCTGTTTGTTTTTGTATAATTGAAAAGGTGAAAAACAAAAAAAAAGGAGAGTTTGTTTTTTCCATAATTATCTTAATTATGTATGATCTTTTCCGATCTGTATGGCAATTAAACAATTGAACCCCTCTGTTTTAAGGTCGGAAAAGTTTTATGATGTCATTTTCACATCAACATTATCAAAGGTTTGGAGAGCAAAGGTGTTTTGTAATGATTACAAAAGATAATAATCCATATTTTACAAGGTCTAGAAAATATGCTGTATAGCAGGGGTGGGCAACTTCTGCATGTATATGATTGACTTAAAAAAAAAAAAAAATGGATTGTGATCTACCTCCAAAATCTTGGCATTTGCTTCATTCAATCTTGTGTTTCATGTAATAATTAGTGATAGAGGGAAAAGGGCTGTGAAATTGTTATATTTTATTAATAATATTTAATTAAAAGTAGCCACAGGAATGATTACATCATCATTAAAGGGAAGTACACATGAGCATGTCTATAACCTAGCATGCGTAATTTGATGTATATCCTAACAAAGATGATGATAATGAATCTTATAATGGGAATATATGTGTATGGAATTCTTTGTTACCTCAAAATATGGAAAAGCTGATCTACCTAAGCATCTAGATCTGAAGATCCAAAACAAGAGAGTTATATTTTACTGCATTTAATAATACTGGAATGCTTTTCTTGATTGAAGCATTTCCAAAGCTCTTCCTCAAGTTTTTGGGGTTGTTAAGTTAGATCAGTAGTTTTTGACACAATGCGCTTTACATTAAAATCTTTTTTTAAAAGGGAATAATGAGGTAAAAATATATGGTAAAAGTATACTTTCGGGTACCCCTTGGCGATTTTTGGCGGAACATGGATACCGAGTTGTCGCAATGCTTGTTATTTTGGCCTGTGTAGTGGCGATTTTTGGCACAAAAATTGGTGCTACGCATGCCAAAATAACAAGTCAAAGAATTGTACAAACTCAGTATCCATGTACACATCGACCTGTTTTTCACTTAAAAAAAAAAAAAAATCCCCGAATTGCACAAACTATGCTTTGCGAACTCCCTTGAGTTTGTCCATTTAGACATCGATATATTTTCACTTAAAAAGTCAAAGGCGCACCCAATTCTTAAGTATCGGCAAACAAAAAACACATAATCTCAATAAACTACATTTTAAACCAAACAATAAAATAACACAAAAAAAGAAAAAACCTGTTATATATTTTAGCACTATACAAAGCAAAAATGCCCTTACCTTATTTAGAAATTCGTTCGTCTTCAGTCTGTGGCACACAAAATTCCTTAACAGCATTAAAAAACTTTCTAAAATTATCTGAACTACATCCGTATATCGGGGTTGCCACAGAAATTCACAAAAATAACGAATCGAAAATATACTACGTAGTTTCGGACTATGGCTACTAAGTACACCTTCATTTACACAATTAATTAACTCGATTAATGCACTTTCCCCTTTCGTTCCAAAACACAAAATGTACAGAAACTTCAAATTAATCCTACTACATTCAGCCATTTTACCATCTAAACAATGAAACAAGCAATGTACTTCCTAAGCAACACACACCATAAAAGCCTTTACAAAACATCCCATGATTCGAAATTTCCCAGAATAATGTGAACGATTATGTCATAATAAAGTTTCCATAACATTCAACTACTCAGGTTACCATAAATGAAACAACAACTTCACGATAATACAAGGGCTACCTTAAAGTCAATTTTAGCCAACTATTTTATGGGTGCCCCTTGCTGATTTTTGGTGGTACATAGTCACTGAGTTTGTATAATTCTTTGACTTGTTATTTTGGCTTTTGTGTGTGCCGCTAACCAAACACTTGAACAAACTCAGTATCCATATACACATAAACTTATTTTCACTTAAAAAAACATCAGAGAATTGCACAAACTTGGCATTGTGCACTTCCTTGACTTTGTCCAGGTACACATCAATCTGTTTTCACTTAAAAAGTCAAATGACCAGCCAGTTCTACACTAGAGCGAAACAAAAAGTGTATAATCTCAATAAACTACATTTTAAATCAAACTATGAAATAACACAAAAAAGGAAATTCTTTATATCATCTAAGCACTACATAAAGGAAATATCCACTTAGCTTATTTAGAAATTTCCTTGTCTTCAGTCAAACAAAATTTCTTAACAGTGTCCAAAAACTTACTAAAATTATCTGAACTAGAATCTGTGTACTGGCATCACCACGTAAATTCATGGTTAGAGTGTATTTAAGGGTGTCTCTTGGATTATTGCTAAGTTGTTTCATTTATGGTAATCTGAGTAGTTGAATGTTATGGAAACCCTATTATGATATAATTGGTTGTGAGATTGAGGTGAATTTGAATGATGAGAAAATATTTGTAAGTGTGTTTGTGTGTTAGATGTTGATTAGGAATGTTTATTTTGTGGTTTACAGGATAAAGTGGTTGAATGTGGTAAGATTAATCTGAATTTCTGTATGATTTGGAATGAAAGGCGGAAAAAAACATTAATTGACTGGTGTGTAAATAAAGGTTTACTTAGTAGCCATTATAAGTGTTGCGTTTGTACGAAAGAAATGTATATGGTCGAATGTCAAAGGATACTGGCGCTAATCTTTGGATTATGGTAACTTGGCGAAAATTTGGCGACCAACCCTGCTACAGCAACCTGCTAGTTTTGTTTTGGACGCTATTTTGTTTTCACGAAGTAAAGGCATTTTTTTTTTTACTCAACATTTTTTTTTCCAACAATCTGCTAGCCGAATTACGCTTATGCTAGAACTTTTATGGGTACTATTCGATTTTGAGGGCCATAAAAAATCGCCAAACTATCGTTGATGCCAATTCTGCTAAAAATAATTGCTGCAAGAAAGGAAGTATAATAGTAAATAACTATTTAAGATTGATGTTTTAATTTAGATGAAAACATCAATTAATTAATTAATATAATATAATACTTTTACATTAATTAATTAATTAATTAATATAATATTAATCAATTAATTAATATATATAATACTTAATTTCATATAATACTTTTTTATTATTATAATTTATATGAAAAAGGCTAAACATGACTGAATGGAAGCATAAAAGTAAATAACTATTTCAGATGATTATTATAATTTATATAAAAATTGCTAAACATAACTGAATGGATGCCTACATCGCTATTTCACTACCGACTTATCGCTAAAGCATAATTTCGTCTCGTTGGTTGTTCAAACGTAATTTTCTATAATGAATGATGCCTTTTCTTTGAAAATATTCTCGGTAAAGTGCAGAATCACTCACTTATTTGTTTGCTGCTTTTTACAAAGGTAAAAACAATTGGATTTTTGTCAATTTTCTTTTACTTTTTAAGTGAAAATAGATCGATGTGTACATAAAGTCAAGGGTGTGCGCAGGGCCATTTTTGTGCAATTCTAGGATTTTTTTTAAAGTGAAAATAGGTCGATGTGCACATGGATACCGAGTGTGTGCAATTCTTAAAAACCCGTCAAGCAGTGGGTGATTCTGCACTTTACCCCAAATTCTATTGCCGAGTTTTCGTCATGGCCAATTCCCAAATTGTTAAATCCATAGGATATCAAAAAGGATTTAAAATCAAAAATGGATTAAAAAATTAAAGTAGTATTTCAATGGCGTCTTAAGAAATATAGTATAATAGTAGAAATATAGTAGTCTTAAGAAATATAAACTTACGCAATCTGAAATCAGCGCATACGCTAGATTTTGCGCGCTATTAAATGGGCACGTCTGCTAGATTTGGCGCTTTTGCGCGTACATTTTCGCTGCAATTTTTTTACCGCCCTCGAAACCGAATAGTACCCTTTATGGAACAAAAGTGCTTAATCAAGACGAAGATTAGGAGCGAAATTGGGAGACAGTGCAGAATCACCCACTGCTTGCCGCGTTTTTAAGAATTGCACATACACTGTATCCATGTACACGTCGATCAATTTTCACTTAAAAAAACATCCTCGAATTGCACAAAAATGGCATTGCGCACACTCTTCACTTTATCCATGTACACTGCTAAAGTCCTAGCTAGTAACCTTTATCGCCTTACCAAAATGTCGCCAAACTACCTGTTACCATATTCCAAAGATTAGCTGATACTGGCGCTATGGAGGATATTTTTTACTGTTATTTTTGTGAATTTATATGGTGACGCCAGTGTGCACATCCTAGTTCAAATAATTTTAGGAAGTTTTTGGATGCTCTTAAGGAATTTTGTTTGACTGAAGACACTGAAATTTCTAAATA